GGCAAAGACACAGGCAGAGTCATTATGAAAACTAAATGTGTTTTCTGTTTAGTTTGGTTGCTTTTTGTGAATCTGGAACCATTTTGACATGTGGAAATATTCATTTTGATGTGTTTAAAGTGTATTGATTATGGTAATTGTTTTTTCTGTGTTAGTTGCAGTCCAATGTGATTTCCTATGGGCTACTGTAATTGCTTTTTAATTTGCTCTGCTGGCTAATTTGGTTTGGGGGGGTCAAGGTGACCTCTGCATGTCAGCCTCACTATAAGGTAATTACAAGACAGGAGTAGCAAAGTCCAATAAAAGAAGAAAAACGTTTAAAAGTGGTGTGTGTGCAGGTGCAGCTCAGAGAGGAGACCATGCACGGTTATGGTACTAAGGGAAACATAAAAGGAGTGTTTTTGTTTCTACTACTCACTTAGCCAGTGGCTTTCTGTTCCAGACTGTATGGAAGAGAGCAATGGACATGGCCCTAACAATCATTTTATAGAATTTCGTACGATCATTTACTGACTTTAAAAGAAGAGAAACCTTTTCCTGATCCACTGTCATAGTCCCTGTATTTTTCCTTTCCATTCATTGTTTTGTCTCCACTTTTCTTAAATTAAAAGAGTTCTCAGAATTCCATTTATATTTTGGGATTACCTGAGTAGATATGTGAACTGTCAGTTTCAAGTATATTTTCTACCCATATCAGGATTGCTGCCCAGGTCTGTGACAGTCTCTGGGACTATGCATTGATATTGGTGTTTGTGGTATGAGTCAGCTATCAAAAAGGAAAATGATCCTATTTGAAAAAAGTCAAAGTGTACCCCACATCATGGTCGCTTATACTGTCTTTCCTTTAATGTGTCAAATATATATATATTTTTTCCTTTTTGTCTTTTTTTTTACTGACCGGTAACGGGATCACAGCCCTTGGTGTCGCGCCCGTACTGGGGACCGGCAACGGAATCGCAACCCTCAGTGTTACGCCCGCACCGCGCTCAGCCAGTGAGCGGGAACCAGTCTCCACATGGGATCCGAACCCTTGGCGGGGGCGCCGCTGCACTCCCAAGCGGCGCGCTCTCCAGTGCGCCACTGGGCCGGCCCCATTGTGTCATATATTAACGAATATGTACTATATCAATAGCTAGCATTTATTGAGCTCTTACCATCAAGTACTATACTATGTCTGTTAATCCTCAAAACAACCATATTAGATAAGTACTATTATGATTCCCATTTTACAGAGGAAATGAAGGCTCAGAAAGGGTAAGAAACTTGCCTATGATAACTTGCTGCTTCTTTCACAGGAGCAATACCAAACTTCTTTGATCAAGAAACCACGGCACTTTGTTACCTGTATTATCAGATATGAACTCCTCATCCAAGCGCTAAATTCTTAAAAATCACCTGTCTCCCACAATAGCACTTCAGTATAAAGTTTTCCCCATCAAGACTTCTCTCTTTTTTATATAAAGTTTATTTATTTATTGATATTATTTTTTTACATTTTGTGATGCTGCAGAGCAGTTGCGGGGGAGCGGGAGAAGGGAAAGGGGAAAGAAAAAGGGAGGGGGAAGGAGGAGGAGTGGGGTTGAGACCTGTGGCACCCCCCTCATTCCTGCAGCAGAGACCAGGGGGCTTCCAGTGGTGGCTTGGTCATTGCTGGTCTGGGTGCAGATGTCAGGGAGGTGTGGCTGAAGCCTTGCTCCACACTGCCCCAGCTAAGGAGCCTGGGG